CCTTCCTTCCTTCCTTCCTTCCTTCCTTCCTTCCTTCCTTCCTTCCTTTCTTTCTTTCTTTCTTTCTTTCTTTCTTTCTTTCTTTCTTTCTTTCTTTGTCTCTAACAGCTTTTTCTTTTTTGATTCATCCAGTTAGCTTCAAGAAACTAATATTGATCGCTAGTTTTTCTTAACACTCTGCTTTGGAGGAATTCTGGACCCCGAGGAGTCGTGGTAGGGAGGATAGGTGACCTTAAAGCAGTGGGAAAGGCCTGCACCCAGTGTGGATGATGACTCTGCTCTGGCTGAGCGGATGGAGCCACCTTTCTTAATCCTTCCCCAACTATATCCTCTAGAGTGAGTCCAGCCATTCCAGAGACCCTGGGACCACTTGCAGTTAGGGCAGAATTGGATACAACCAGTTGGGAGAGGTGGCAGGATACTCAGGTGAGGGTCCTTCTCCCACCTCCTTCTGTGAATGAACAGTCATAGAGCCTAGCTCTAATGACCTTTGGAGAGCAGGCTCAGCTGAATTCCTGAAGATGGTGGCAGTGTGGCTCAGAGGCTAGTCCTGTATAACACAAGTGCAGATTACAGGAAGTAGATCAAAATGTAGTGGTTCTATACAAATATTGTGATAACTACTAATCCCAGCAGAGAGGCAGAGGCGGGTGAATCTGTGAGCTCCAGGCTAACGTCATCTATAGAGAGAGTCCTGGACAGCCAAGGCTCTACAGAGACCCTGTCTCAAAACGAAAACAAAACAATACAGATAAATAAAAAAAGAACGAACCACAGCAACTTGCAACATGAATGGATTATAAAATAAGCTAATGCATACAATCACTACAATAAGGCAAGAAAAAGAAACCATAGAATAAGATTGGAAAAGAGACAAAAATTTATATACAGATAACATAATTATGCACAAACTATTAAAATAATCAGTGAATTAGCAAGATTAAGGGATACAAAACCAATAAACTAAAAGTAATTACTTAAATGTGTCAGCAAGAGCAGCACAAATGAAGTGAAAACAGAATAAAAACCAAATAGGGGGCAGGAGAGATAGCTCCGAGCTTAAGAGCATTGGCTACTCATCCAGAGGAGCAGGGTTTGATTCCCATTCAAAACCACCTGTAACTAGGGTTCCAGGGTATGCGACACTTGCTTCTGGTTTGCACAGGCACCAGGCACATGCATAGTGCCACACACACATGCAGGCAAAACACCCATATAAGTAAGATAAATAATTGCTTTTTAAAAGGCACAGCTCACACTGATGAAGGCTGTGTGGTATTTTTACTTACTTCATTCTACTTTACTATTTTGCTTTAATTTAATTTATTTTATTTTATGACAGTGTCTTATGTATCCGAGGCTGGCCTCTAAGTCTTTGTGTAGCCAAGGATGATCCTCCTGACTTTACCTCCCTAGGCTGATGTTATGCCATCATCATACTTAGTTTATACATTGCTGGCATTGAACCCGAACCCGGAGCTTCAGTCAATGCTCTGCAAAATAGTTTACCAACTGAACCCTCTCCCTAGCTCTCTGTGGTATTTAATATTGGAACGGTATTTATTGTGACTGATATGATTATTGATGAGAACATGAAAAGGGCTTTTTATTGTTTTGTTTTTAGACAGGATTTTACTCTGTAAGCCCAGGCTGTCCCCTCAAGCTTGTGGTTCTCCTACCTGAGTCTTCCCAGGGTGAGGACTTCGGGTGTCACCATTCCAGCCCCAGCACACATCTGTGGCCACTATGGCAGGAATGTGTATTTTGTGATATAAAAAGGTAACACTGAAAGTTTTCTAATTTTATTTACAAAAATGTTTTTGGTGACCGTCCTTGTTTTTTGAGATAGAGTCTTACTATGTGGTCCTGGCTGAATGAAATTCATTAGGCAGACCAAGCTGGCCTCAACTCACAGCGCTCTGCCTGTTTCAGTCTCCTGAATGCTGGAATTAACCTCTATTCCTGGGATTTTGATATGTAAAGTTTATTTTTTTTTTTTTCCCTCTGTTGTGGTACAGTTTTCCAGAGAAGCAGTCCAAGACCAGAGTTCTTTTTGTGGAAGGATTTTATTTTATTTAAAAAATATTTACATATATGTCATTTATGTGTATGTATGGCTTATAGGCACCCTCTGCACAGAAACCCGTGCAGGCCAGAGGAGGGTGGCATATCACCTGGCACTTTAGTTACAGGTGGCTGTGAGCTACCTGACGTGGGTACTGAGAAGCAAACTTGAGTTTGGGCCTCGCCAGGAGTATGCCGTGCATTCCAGGTCAGCCTGGGCCACAAACAAAACATACATGATTGTTTGTGCTTAAAAAAAGGGAAAAGAGAGAATTTGCAATCTAAAACCAGTAATGTGGTATGTAGCCTTCCTGTTCTCAGGTGTGGTGTACCTGTTCTGAGAGGAATACATATTGGGGAATTGCTTTTCAGTGTGGAGTGTCAAGTGAAAATTTCAAGGCTTGGGGGAAGCAATTGTTTGGAAAGATTTTACAAGGAACTATTTCCGTGTTATTTTTACTATTCCATAGATTTCTACTCCTAATGAATTTGATGTTATGTTTAAGCTGGAAGTCCCCAGAATTCAGCTACAAGAATATTATGACAGTGGTGCTTTTTATCTTGTGAAGTTCAAAAGAATTCCACGAGGAAATCCTTTTGGTCATTTTTTAGAAGGGGAAATATTATCAGCTACCAAGATGTTGTCAAAGTTTAGGAAAATCATTAAAGAAGAAGTTAAAGAAATCAAAGGTGAGATTTTTGGTTTTGCAGATCTGCCTTACTGCTCATATACACTCCTCTTCTCAATTCTGAGTTCCTATCAGCCCGCCCCATCTGTATCTCTCCATCTCTCTCCCCAGTGTCTCTCCCCCACCCCATCTGTGGGCACTCCTTGGAGCAGTCTGCCGCCCACTCCCAAAGCTCCCTGAACTGACCACACTACCTGTCCTGGGACTGTTTCCACACAGGGTATAACCCCTAAGAAAATAGAAGCAGTCATCAAAAGTCCCCCCACCAAAAGAAGCTCAGGGCCAGATGGTTTTAGCTCAGAATTCTACCACACTTTCAAAGAAGAGCTACTACCAAAACTCCACAAAATATTCCACAAAATAGAATCAGAAGGAACACTGTCAAACTCATTCTATGAAGTCACCCTAATACTTAAACCTCACAAAAGACCCAACAAAGAGAATTTCAGACCAATCTCCCTCCTGAACATTGATGCAAAGATATTCAATAAAATACTCACAAACTGAATCCAAGAACACATCAAATACATCATCCCCCATGGCCATGTAAGCTTCATCCCAGGCATGCAGGGGTGGTTCAACATATGAAAATCCATCAATGTAATCCACCATAGAAACAAACTGAAAGAAAAAAAAAAAACACATTATCATCTCCTTAGATGCTGAAAAAGCATTTGACAAAATTTAACACATGTTCATGTTTAAAGTTTTGGAGAGATCAGGGATACAAAGCACGTTTCTAAACATAGTAAAGACAATATACAGCAAGCCTATAGCCAACATCAAACTCAATGGAGAGAAACTTAAATCAATTCCACTGAAATCAGGGATAAGGCAAGGCTTCCCACTCCCTCCTAATCTTTTCAACATAGTTCTTGAATTCCTAGCTAGAGCAATAAGACAACTAAAGGAGATCAAGGGGATACAAATTGAAAAGGAAGAAGTCAAAGTATCACTATTTGCAGATGATATGATAGTATACATAAATGACCCCAAAAGTTCTACCAGAGAACTCCTTCAGCTGATAAACACCTTCAGCTAAATAGCTGGATTCAATATTAACTCAAAAAAATCTGAGGCCCTCCTGTATACAAAAGACAAACGGGCCGAGGAAGAAATTAGGGAAACAACACCCTTCACAATAGCCACAAATAACAGAAAGTACCTTGGTGTGACTCTAACCAAGCAAGTGAAAGACTGTATGAGAAAAGCTTCAAGTCTCTGAAGAATGAAATTGAAGAAAAATCTAAATGAAAATTCAATTACAGCATTTCTGTCGTGACAACTTTGGAGTTTTTGTTTCTTTAAAAAACACTGAACTACACTAAACCTAATTCCTTTCATGAGAAAGTTTTTTGTTAATTTTTTTCCATAAAAATGTCTCATTGAATTTCTTTTTAAAGATAATTTCCATCTCCCCAAATCCTTTTGCGCTTTCAGTTAAGTAGCATCTGTAATTTGACTGTAAAATTTCCAACTCCATCTACATTTGCTCATCTCAGAATCTCACGCTAGCAACATTCCTAAGTGGATGAATAAATCATTAGCAGTTTGTTCCAAAAAAAAAAAAAAAAAAACCTCACAAAAATGTTATACAAGTGTGTTTCGTTTTAATCCCAGGTTTAGGAGATGTGAGATCACTTTGGACTGTCTGCAGCAGCTGATAGGATTTGCCTCGTGCTCTAGCCAAGTCATGGTTTTGCCAGGTGCAGATAGTTTCTGCAATTGTGTGATGTTTGGAATTCTGGGAACTTTTCAGAGTGTATATAAATGCTAGAGCCCCGATAGGCATGGTTGGTGGTCTTCAGGCAGGGGTTGTTTGCTGTTAGTCATGCTTCAACAAAATGAAAAAATAGATTCAGGGATCTCTCTCTCTCCCTCTGTCTCTGTCTCTCTTTCACCCTCTCCCCCTTTCCCTTCCTTCCTCCCTTCTGTTCTTCTTGATCTTATCTAGTGATAGGTAAAATGAGAATGGTGGTGGAGGTGGTGGTGGTGATAAAGGACTGGAAAAAAGAACCCACAAAGTTGCTGGTCTTTGTAGCTACATACTCCCAAACTCAAAGACTTTAGGAATACTTCCTCATAGGTCCTTGATAGAATCATGACCACATCAACAAATAGTAACTTGGTTACATGGTAAAACACTGTCTCATGGGGTGTAGTTCTGCATTGGGGCTAATGTTAATTAGAGCTTAGGGTAAGGATTTTAAATTACGTTCTGTTAATTTCTCATATTTCCAGAGAAAATGGATCAACCTTTTCTTTGCTTCAATATGTGTAAACAGATATAGATGTCAGTGTGGAGGAGGAAAAACCAGGAAGCCCTGCTGTAACACTTCTAATCAGGAACCCTGAAGAAATATCTGTGGATATAATTCTGGCTTTGGAATCAAAAGGCAGCTGGCCTGAGAGTACCAGAGAAGGACTACCCATCCAAAGCTGGCTTGGCACAAAAGTTAGGACCAAGCTAAGAAGAGATCCATTTTATCTTGTACCTAAGAATGCAAAACATGGAAGAGGTTTTCAAGGTTTGTTGAATGTAAAGGTGAATGGGAAGGATATAAAAGGTCATTAGTGTCATATGCAAAGACAGTAAGAGATCAACAGTCCACTAATGTGCTGGTATTTGAGAGCTGTCAGGGTAAACAGTCCACAACATGAGTATGGCCAGCTTGAATTGAGAAAAGTGTCTATTGTACTTGAGAGGGAGCCAGCAGAGGCAGGAAGAACAGGAGTGTCAGGCTGTCTTTGATACAAAGGGAGTTGCAGGCTGAGCTGGGCTTCATGAGACCCTGTCTCAAAATAATTCCCAAACCACAGCAAACAGTAATTACTTCACTTTCAAATGCCTACCGTTCAGTGCATCTAAATGTTGTTTCTTTTTAAGTGAAGTGCTGCCTTGGACTCAGACTGTTGTGGTTCTGCACCTTGGGGCTTCCCTTTGACCAGCTGTGTGACCTTGTGCTGGTTTTAAAGCCTCTTTAAATTTGTGTAGCAGCTCAGCTGTGCAAATCAAAGCTTATTGAAAGATGCTGGGAAAGTCAAACCATCGGAGAAGCAAAATATTAATGGAATAAATGTAGCACAACAAAGAGATAATAGGTCTGATCTTGGCTAAGTATATTAAGTCCCGCTCTCTGAATTTCCCCATTTAAGCCTACTTTGCTGTACAGTATTTACTTTAATAATAATTACTTTGTCTATCTGTGCACTTCTTTTGGTCTGTCTTCTAAAATTTCTTCAGGATGATAATTTAGTATAGGATCAAAATTTAGATATTGTTTACATGTGGCTGCTTTTTGTAGAATAACTTTCTGTTGTCTGAAACATAGGACAGACATGGCGCCTCTCTTTCTCTCATACTGAAAAATACATTTTGAATAATCACGGGACAGAGAAAAAATGTTGTGAATCGGGTGGAGTGAAATGTTGCAGGTAATGTCCTTATTTTTGTAATGGCAAATTACCTATGATATTAACATTTAACGCTTCCTTGTGCCATAGCTCAGATGTAAGCATGATTATTGCTGGGTTGTGTTGGGAGAAGGGTGCTTCTGGGATGATTTTGGGTAGAGAGCAAGGGGGAAGGAGAGACAGAAGAAGAAAAGAAGGCAGAGGAGAGATATTTTATTATATACAGATTATTTATAATATATACTTACATATGTAGGCATGTATACATAGATACATACACATATATAGTATACTTTTGGGGGATGGGGGCTTGGATCTCATGTGTAGCCTGGGCTGGCCTTGAACTCACTCTGTAGCCAGTGTTGAACAGTATTGAACTCATTGTGATCTTCCTGCCTCAGCCTCCCAAGTGCTGAGATACAGACATATACACTGCATCTGGCTGATTGAGTATTTTATTGTCATGGAAGGTGAAGAGGCCAAAGAATGACATCGGATAGTGGTGGCTGCTTTGGGATGGAGTAGTTGTGTTGCTGTTAGGGACTGACTGGCCAAACTTGACATCACACTTAAGTGGGTCATTTTTCTTGTTAGAATATAGACCGTCAAGAAGTCAGATTGAGTCAAGCAAGGTAGTACACATCGTAATCCCAGCTCTTGACTGGTGGAGGAGAATTAGGAGGTGAAGGCCAGCCCCTGCTACATGACAAGTTTAAGGCCAACCTGAGCTACATGAGACCCTATCTCAAAAAAATTGGAAACAAAGAAGAAAGTATGTTTTAAAAAGAGAAAAGACAGACAAGGCAGTGCACAACTTTAATTCCAGCACTATGCTTAGGAGGTAGAGGCAGATGGGCCTCTGTGCGTTCCAGGAAAGCCAGGGTTACATAGAGAGGCCGTGTCTCAAAAGAGACAGGTTGTGAATAAGTAAAAATGCATATCTTCTTTTTTATTTAACAGGAAAGAATGCTTAAAACTAATGAAATACCTTTTGGAACGGTTGAAACAAGAATTTCAAGAACTAGATGCATTCTGTTCTTATCATGTGAAAACTGCCATGCTTCACATGTGGACCCAGAACCCACAGGACAGTCAGTGGGAATTCACAAATCTAAGTTTCTGCTTTGATAAGTTTTTGATGTTTTTCATTGAGTGCCTCAGGACAGAGAAACTGGACCATTATTTTATTCCAAAGTTCAATCTGTTCTCTCAAGAACTAATTGACAAAAAGAGTAAAGAATTTCTGTTAAAGAAAATTGAGTATGAAAGAAACAATAGATTTCCAATTTTTGACAAGTTTTGAAATTACATATGTGTATTATAATTTGTGCGTTATGTGTTCCTAGGCCAGAGGTTGGTGCCAGATGTCTTTCTCAATCACACTTCACTTTTTGTGTATGTGTGTGGGGTCAAGACAAGGTTTATTTATATAGTCCTGGATGTCTTGGAACTCCCTTTGTAGACCAGACTGGTCTCGAACTATCCACCTTCCCCTGCTTTCAGAGTGCTGGGATTAAAGGCATGTGCTACCACTACCCAAAACACTTTATTTTTTTGAGACAGGATCTGCCTCTGAACCGGGAGCTCATGGAGGTGTCCACGTTGATTATCCAGTGAGCTCCCAGGGTCCACTTGTCTCTGCCTTCCCAGCCCTAGGATGACAGATGAACATCACCTATTTACTTTTACATTTTTGTCCTAATGCATGCAAAGCAGATACTGTAGTGACTAAACCATGAGCCCAGCCTGAAATTGTCTTTTGAAATAAAATTGGATTAAAGTGACTTAAGTCCACTGTGGTGGTGCATGCTTGTAGTTCCAGCACTTCAGAAGTGGAGGCAGAAGAATTCAGTGTGATTCTTGGCTCTATTTCTAGTTCAAGGATAGCCTGGGCTATATGAAACCTGCTTAAAACAAAGTACAAAGGAGCTGGAGAGATGGCTCAGTGGTTAAGAGCACTTACTGATCTTTCAGAGAACTTGGGTTGGTTTCTGGCACCCAATGATAGGGCACAATTGTAACTCCAGTTAAGGGAGTCTAGTATGATCACTATAGGATCCTGCTTGTGCACATTCAGACAAAAATTTTTAAGAGCTCCCAAAGAAAATGAAACTATAAGCCCATAATATGTCAAGTGTGTTGACCTTTATAATCCTGGCACTTGAGAAGCTGAGGTATGAAGGTTGCCATGAATGCAAGGCCAGCCTGGGCTACAAAATATGATCTTGTCTCAAAACAAAACCAAAAGCCAACAACAGTCACCATGAGTCACCATGAGATTTGGCCTGCTCACCCGTCCTGACTCAGAATGGTACGCATTCTTCTTTTTTCTTTAGGATGCTGGTCAGAACCTAAGGAGTCTTTTCTGCATGTTGTACCTCCTTACTCTTTGTCTTGAAGTTCCCCTCAACCCTGTGACACATACACTATATGGCCTTTTGTCTATCATGTGGCTGATGTCCTCTATGAATGCAAAACATAAGGCCCCAAAATGTGATTATAATTCAAATGTTCACAGCAGTCACTAAAATATAATCATTTTGTACTATTTCTTATAATTCAAATATAAAGGTTATAATAAAATGAATGTTTTTCCCCAAATAAATCATAAGTACTTAGTGAATATCACTTCTCACCTTGGATAAGTCTGCAGAAGGTTGTAGATAGACCATATTAAAAATGGTTTAGACTTTGTCCAAACACAAGATGTGTACATGGAAGCAGTGCCTGCCCCTGTGTCCCAGGGTAGGAAAGGAAAAGGACAGTTAGCTCTGCATCTCGACTTCAGGTGCTTTCTCATGTATGGGTAAGCCTAATGTATTTTTTATTTATTTTTATATGTTTTTACAAAAGCAATGGTACCTGATGGAGGAATGGGTGTGGACAGAGAATGACTCTCCTCTGCATTCAAGTAGCATCCCCAGTGACAACTGATGCTCTTGAACTTTTTCCAAGTACTTTGTATTGCTGTGGAAGCTTCTTTCTCGTTCTGTATTTGTTAGTTCCCTGTGTAACAATGTCTACCACAGGTTTGTCTTCACTTTTTTTGGTATCTTTAAATAAATAAAATTTAAAAGTTTTAATGTAGTTGAATTTATCAGTCAGAGTTTGTGCCTTGTAATTAACATCCACTGAGTTTGAACATCATAGAAAAAGTGTCAACATGGAGAGGAAAGGTTTGAAGACAATTAACAAGTAGAATGCCAGACTAAAAATAAATCCAGGCTCTACTTAACATCTTCAAATATGTCCCCCTCTCTCAAGTGGTACACAAAGCCCTGAGTTCAATTCCCAGCATGTAAATAAAGTAAAAAGAAAATTATAGCCCTTGAAATTCAGATCCTCTTTCCCTAGCCTCATCAGTATTTGGGATTATATTCATAAACTGCCAGACTGGACTTGCATTGCTTAAGTTCAACTCATGCTTAGATTTTGGACAACTGCTTGCTTACTGTTCTGATGGCTTTTAAAAAGAGACTTTACAGAACAGCTTTATTGATATATAATGCACTCAACTCAGTTTATCCATTTGAAGTGTACAGTTCAATGATGACCCTAGGCCCTCTGCAACAGCCAGTGTTCCTAATTGTCCAGTCACCCTTTCCATTCCTAACAAGCACTCTTGACGACAAAGCCAACTTCTCAGCCCCAAAGTATTGCCAGTTCAATGTCCTGGTTTGCAGGGTTTTTTTTTCCTTTTATTTTTTTCTTTTCCTACTAGGAATATAGAACCTAGAACCCCACAAATAATGTCAAGCACACTTTACAACTTTTTTTTCACTTTACAACTTTAAAAAGTGGGGTTTTTTTTTTTGTTTGTTTTGTTTTTTTTCTTTCAGTTGAAACAGGGTTTTTCTATATAACCTTGGATGTCTTGGACTCTTTGTAGACCAGGCCGGCTTCGAACTCACAGAGATCTGCCTGTCTCTGCCTCCCAAGAGCTGGAATTAAAGGTGTGTGCCACCTCACCTGTTTTTTTTTTTTTTTGTTTTGTTTTTAATGATTTATTTATTTGTAACAGTATTCTGCCTGCACACCAGAAGAGGACATCAAATCACGTTACAGATGATTGTGAGCCACTGTGTAGTTGCTGGGAACTGAACTCAGGACCTCTGGAGGAGCAGACAGTGCTCTTAAATGCTGAGCCATCTCTCCAGGCTGCTTGTTTTGTTTTTAAGGAAGGTTGATATAGTAGTTACTGGAGCTCTGAGTGTTCTTACATCATCTCAGTACTTGAGTACATGTCCTAGAAGACAAAATTAGAGAAGCTACCCAATGCCTGGATTGTAAAGAACAGTTGTCATGTTCAGAGAAGCAGGTCACTGTCCCTGTATTCAGCTTTTTGTGATTATATACAGTAAGACCACTTACCAAGTTTTTCTTTGCATGATCTGTTACAGTCAACGGGGGTCCAAAACATAAGTGGAAAACTTGAAATAATAAAAATATGTATGTTTAAAGTTATGTTTTTCTGAGTGACATACTGGAATCTTGGACCATCATACTCGAGTACCACAGTATCCTGCTCAAACCTTACTAGGGCAGGCATCACTCCTTTGTTCACTATATCCATGCTGTATATGCTACCTTCCCATTACTTACATAATAGCATCCTTAAAATTGTTTTAGATTCCTTGTGTACTGATGTTTTGCCTTAATGTTTGTATGTACACCACATGCATGCCTGTCGAGGCCATAAGAGGCTGTCAAGTTTCCTGAAACTGGAATTATAGGTAGTTGAGCTGCCGTGTCAGGGCTGGTAACTGAACCTGAGTTTTGCAAGAGCAAGAAGTGCTCTAAACTGCTGCTCCATCTCTCTCGCTCCTACACTTGCACAATTAGTCATCAAATTATATCATTGCAGTTCTTGTGTTGTTAAGCCCTATGTTACTTAATAATGGTTCCAAAATGCAATAGTAGGAACATGAGCAATTTACTTATGTCAAAGAGAAAGGCAGCTTTTAAGAAAGTAAAACAGCCTAGAGAGATGGCTGGTGGGGAAGAGCACTAGCTGCTCTTCCAGAGGACTCTGGTTCAGTTCTTAGCACTACAATAGTTTGTCTCTCTAGCTCTAGGTGTACTTTTCTTTTGCAGTGCTGGCGATTGAACCCTTGGTCTTGCACATGCTAGGCAAGCGGCCTACTACTCAGCTACATCCTCAGCTTCACGTTCTCTTAAAAAATACTATAGATAAAACATCTTTCTTAAAGATTTATTTATTATGTATACAATGTTCTGCCTGTAGCAGAGGGCACCAGATCTCATTATGGATGGTTATGTGCTTGCTGGGAATTGAACTCAGGACCTCTGGAAGAGCAGCCAGTGCTCTTAACCTCTGAGCCATCTCTCTAGCCCCTAGATAAAACCTTTTAGCACTACAACTTAGCACTACAAATATCCATGAAAAAAATTTCAACAAGGTTAAAAACTACTGATTTTTATTAAAGAAAGTATAAAACATTAAATTCTACATTTTAAAACACTATTATTTTAAGAATCAGTCAAGTCTCTTCATATTGATGCACGTTTCAACAATTCCACTTTGAATAAAATCTTGAATCCTAAAAAGTAAATGGGGGAAAATTACTATTTACAAAATCATTAGTTTTGTATCTTGATTCTTGGTGGCCCTTGCTCTACTGGAACTCACTCTGTAGACCAGACTGACCTTGAACCAGGATATCCACCTGCCTCTGCCTCCCAAGTGCTTAAAGGCATGGCCCAGCTCAAAATTCTTGTTTTTAAAAGGGTGGTTCAATTACATAATATAAAATCACTCTCAACCATTTTCAGCTGTGCAGCTCGGTGGTGGTAACAACATTCACTGTGCAATTTCTATAGCTTTCAACTTACAAAACTCTAAAGTCTATATCCACTAAACAACAATGTCCTCTTTGTTTAACCCCACCCATCCTTGAAAGCACTTTTCTGTTTCTGTGACTGTTCTTTGATAGAAGGGTCTCAGGTAATCCCAGGCTGCCCTAAAACTGATCTGCTGCCTCCACTACAATTTGGTATTTTAGATGCCTCATACTGGACTCATATACAGTACTTACTCTTTTGTAATTTTTTCATTTAAAGCACAATGTCCTCAAGATTCACTCTGGTTGCAACAGGTAACATCTTTTTAAGGTTAAATGTCCCACTATTACATATGTGATATACTGTATTAACTTACTCTTGTACTTTTGGGTTGCTTCCAAGAGAGAAGTGCTGTTTTTAAAGCACGACGCTGTAAATGTGAGGGTGTACATTAATAAATACGATGCTATGAATGTGAGGGTGCACGCTTTTAATTATTATTTTTATTATATGTACATTGGTGTTCTGCCTGCATGTATACCTGTGAAGGTGTCAGATCCCCTGGAACTGGAATTACAGACAGTTATGAGCTGCCAAGTGAGTGCTGGGAATTGAACTCAGGTCTTCTGGAAGAGCAGCCAGTGCTCTTAAACACTGGACCATCTCTCCAGCCCGAGGGGGTACATTTTTAAGTATGATGCTATGAATGTATACCCAGAAGTAGATGTGTGACATCATATAATTGCTGAGGAAGCACTATGGTCGGTCTTTTCCACAGGAGATAAATCAATTTACAACTCCAAGAATGAACAAGGAGTTCACCTGACACTTTTGATAGTCATTTTGACATATATGATAGATCAAATGTTAAGTTACTTCTGGGTCATATATTTTGTCATGTACCTGTAACCCTTGCACTCAGGAGGCTAAGGTAGAATGATGGCAGGTCTGAGGCCAGCCCAGGCAGCACATGTCTGAAAAAGATACATTAACAAGGTTTTTGGTAATAGGGAAAAGAGTAATATTTCATCATTTATTTATGTTCCTGGTTCTTAGAGATTATGCTGATTGTAATACATTCACCATTTGAGCTTTGGGTTTTGAAAGACATACATGCTGGGTGTGGTAGTGCATGTCTTTAATCCCAGGATTTGGGAGGTAGAAGCAGGGAGATAGCTATGAGTTCAAGGCCAACCTGGTTTACATAGTGAGTTTTAGGACATCCAGTGACACATAAAGAGATCTGGTCTCATCGGAAGTAGGAGACAGAGAACAGGATAGAAGCTTTCTCCAGGGGCTTCTGAAAGACTCTACCCATCAGAGTATCAAAGAAGATGCTGAGAATCATAGCCAAACTTTGGGCAGAGTGCAGGGAACCTTATGGAAAACCAGGGAGCTAGAAAGACCTGGAGGAAACAGGAGCTCCACAAGGAGACCAACAGAGCCAAAAATCCTGGGTCCAGGGGCCCCTGCAAAGACTACTCCAACCAAGGACCATGCATGGCAAGGACCTCGATCCCTTGCTCAGATGAAGCCCATAGGCTGCTCAGTTTCCAAGTGGGTTCCCTAGAGTAAGGGGATCAGGGCTGTCTCTGACATGTGGCTGGCTCTTTGATCACCTCTCCCTGGCAGGGTGCAGCCTTGCCAGGCCACAAAAGAAGATGATGCAACCAGTCCTGATGAGATCTGATAGACTAGGTGGAGTCAGACAGAAGGGGAGGAGGTTATCCCCTATTAGTGGAGTAGGGGAGGGGCATGTGGGAAGAAGAGGGAGGGAGGGTAGGACTGGGGGGAGGGCTACAGCTGGGACACAAAGTGAATAAACTGTAATAGATAATAATTTAAAAAAAGAGAGCCTGTCTCAAAACACAACAAAACAAAAAAGAAAGATTTGAATGTCTACACCATAAAATTTTACCTGTGACACAAGACATTAGTAAAACTTCTGGGGTTTTCCTTGAGGTCTTCCCATTTTCTTTTCCATCTCTCTTTTTAGTTTATTTGCTTTGTATCTCTCAGCCATTAAGACAAGTTCCTCTGGGATACTCTGAAATTATTAAATATGTTATTAGGATTCTGTGTTCCTTCCTTTTATGACATGTCGAATCACCTTCAAATTTTTCAGACACTCTCACAATTACACAGGACGTCTTCCAAAAAACATTTTATTTTGGTGTGTGCGCTCATGCTTGTGGTCAGAGGACAACTCTTGGGAGTCAGTTCTATCCT